GCAGCTTTCCGCTGGCTAGAGAATACGACACACACACACATTGTAATTGTAACTGATTCAGAAAGCATGCCGAGGAAGATCAGAACAGGCATGCTTCGTGCAGAGTGGCATGCTTCGCTACGGAGGACACGAGTGAGGAGTATTGTCTGGATTTTTTCACCAGGTCACGCCGGTGTGTTGGGAAATGAACAGGCGGACAGACTGGCTGGCTCTGCACAACTTGGTGGAATCCTGCTACATGATAGGGCAGACGTGGTTAGTGCCTTGTGGGAGAGCGTGTACAATGCGGAGGAGCAGATGGATCACCACAGTTTGGTGAGATTGGTGCAGTTGGGGGTGACGAGAGGTTCTGGCAGAAGCTCAAGGCTCAGAGGAAAGGCAAGACGGACATGTAATCAGAAAGCTACTGGCACCATTAGTATCGGAACTCTTCGCTGGCTGCTGAAGATGGAGACGGAGCGCTTATGGGAATGCCCCAGGTGCTGTGATGTCGGTTCTTGAATCAAATCAATCAATCAATGACCGCCAAGGTGGAGAGAGCTGATGATACAGTCAACAGAAACTGGTGACCCAACGACACGCAGTGTTACAGGATGATGATGATTATATGATAATGACAATGATGATGATGACATATAGCCAACTTACCTAGCGATTATCATACCTGATATACACAGCCAGATTGTTTTTTCTCACTTATTATTTGTTGGACACCACTTGTCCAGCCATCACAGGAGCGTTGTCATTGAACTGTGATCGACAACCTGCTAGTTTCATTTTCTTACTCTAGCTAGTTCAAGATATATTAAACCAAGCTGTTAGCATCCTTCTGGTTTATCTGCATAAAACCAAGAAAAAACTATTTAATACATGCCTTTTTCCTTTCAAAATAAACATCCGTGTACCTCACTATCTCTTATATCTGTTCACGATGTGCTTGAACAGGAGTTGAGTCGAACATAATACCATAATACTTGGCTTTGCGAATGCTTCTCAGTAAATTCTGGCCAAACAGTTGTTAATTTTATTCTGCATAAAACGGAATTCAACGTGGATCCAGCATGGCGTATTGACTAGTTACCTTTGTAGGCGCTACGCTTATTTTTTAGCAGCCCGCTTACATACCAGTACCTGAAGCGTTAAGCATTGAATACTGTTTGGAAAGCACACTTGAAGTCCTTTTTGGGATTCTTAACAAGTCTTGCCGACCTCTCAGATATCAAGTTTCGGTAAAGCACCTTTTAGACACCGCTTGACAAGATGGGAAAAGTAAACAAGCAAGCCAAAGCCGCTTCACCCAGGAAGACATAGATAACCGCAGCAGAAGCCTCTGCCACCGAAAACAGGAGTCTGGCAGCTCAAGTACCGCTGAGCCCAGTTGCCGAGATCGAGGTAGCACCAGAGCCCACCAGAGACCCTGCAGCCGTAAGGCCACGTGGAGTCCAGCCATCACCACCCAGTGCCGCTGACGCTCCTGAAACCCAGCCAGAAACAAGGCCACCGAAACAGAGCGGCACGCGCAAGAACCAGCAACAGATCCTACAGTACGCCCATTGCAATAGGGTGTGGCACACCACCGCGACCTGTCGAAGCGGGCCCATTTGTCGATACTGCTCAGGGACGCACGACTTTAGGGAGTTCCCCCTGGCAAAACTAGACCAGAATTTCAAAGGGCGAACGCTAACAGACGATGTTCGAACAGCACAGGAGCTCACAGTGCGAGGTATCTGAGAAGCCCGTACTTCAAGGACACAAAGAGAGGAGTGTCCAGTGCCGTAGCAAGGAAAGAGCAGAGGTACCAGGCGTCCGGACCCACCAGACCATATATGACAAACCAACTGAGAAGCCAGCCTACCCTGCCATCAAAAGACCACGACCTAGTGCAAGCAATTTCGGAACTGAGATCCGAACTGAAGTAGGAAAAAGCCGCTGCCGCCACCGAAAAAGCTGAGACGCATGAGTTAATCACCCTAATTCTGAGAGAAATAAATGCGCTGAAAGAGGACAGAACAGCCTACAAAGCACAACAAATCCACAACAAGAAAGAAGATGCAGAAACCAAAGAAAGCATCAGGGCATTAATCGCAAGTTTGGCTGCGGCACAGGCAGCAGACGAGAAACGCAGACAGGAGGAGAGAAGCAGAGAGGTGGCCATGCTGAAAGAGGCGAGAGAGGAAGCCTACAGAGAAGTCACCCGACTAGTACAGGCTAAGGCAGAAGAAGCCAAGGGCGCCAGAACAGAGTGCGCCCCGTTACAGAGCGAAAGAGATAGAGCGCCCCCCCCCCCCAAAAAAAAATGTTAGCAGGGCCGACAAGAGCACAGTCACCGAAGCGGTAGCGACGAGGCACCAGGCACAACTGACAGATCCCACTATAATCGATGATCGAAACACTGAAACAGACAGAGTAGCTCAAGTCACTCTAAAATTCCCAGAGGAGAGTGCCGAAACCACCGATGCTGACGTACAAGAACTTCACAGGAGAATTAATGAGCTAATGTTTCCGCACAAGCTGATCACGTGCCAAAACCGTGTCTACACAGAATATGACGAGGACGCGCAGAAAGAGGAGGAGGAAAGCCTAACACCTGAGGAATACCAAGCCAGACAAGATTGGTGCCTCCAACTCTTCAAAGAAATGAAAACAGCCGCCACACGACATTTCGCTCAGGAAGAACAAAAGCTATGCCAGACGCCTAGGAAACCCCAAAAGTACACACCAGGGAGACGAAACCACTACCAGTATGGAAACCACCCAAGCCGCCATGACAGCACAACTAACCAGCGCACCGGAGACCCCGCTCTTCCCATTCCAGGCTGCCCCAGGCAAAAATGGCAGCCTTTTTAGGGTTGCCAAATCCACTCCCAAAAACCTGGAAACCGACTGCTAAGTCTGACCGAGCGGACATGATACAGCAGCAAATACCCTAACTTGGGCGAAAATGATCACCACACAGAAACGAATTCAGGGCAGCTGAAAGAGGACAAAGTTTGACATTTTTGTTTGGTTTCTCGATTACAATCCAGCATGTCAAGTTTTCTTTCAAGAGATGTCAAAAACAACAAGTAATTTCAATAAGCCAAGAAAATGCCCTATATTGGAACCATGGTCATCTTGCTAAAGTGATTCTAAGTGTCCACCTAAAACAACAATTTGAGTTGCGAGGAATTGTATGTATTGGAGATTCTTGTCAAGATTTACTACACTTCTGCTTTATCAATAAACACATTCTTGGGATCAAAAGAGTTAAGAAGCATATCTTGGGTACTATTACAGAAATTATGACTTCAGGTGACCAGACTACAGAATGCATTTTTCTTTTAAATGTAAGCAGTGCTGGTCATAGATAATTTTTTATGTTTGTGTAGGCTAGGGGCCTTTATAACCTTCTGCAACAAAATGTAACTCATTGTGGACTCTCCAGAGGAGACACTGCCTCTTGAAAAAAACACAAAAGTGTTTCAGTGCCCCCACCCATTTTTTAACTGTGCCCAGGGCATCTGCCCTACCTGCCATATCCTAGTTACGCCACTGCACATGTGGACCACAAATCTGTTTTAGTAATGACTCACTGCAAAAGTTTGGCCGGTGGCGTATAAAAAAGAGTTTTGATGATGCCTTGGTCAAGAAGTTGCGCTTTCGAGGTCATGTTTAGAGACAGAAATTTCAGTGTCCGGTTGGTCGGATGATCCACTTGTGGGTGGCAAGGATACTTGTCTACTGTCAGTAGAAAATACCGTTCTTTCTTCTTCGTTTCTCGGTCGATGTCCTTTACCCACTCCTAAAATAGAGCGCTAGTCCTACAAAGTGCTAGGCCTACATCTGAATATGTTTGATCTCCAAGTAAGGGTCTTCGAGCTTCAGATACTTGAATATGCATTGCTTTGCACAAATTAAATCACCCGATTAAAAAAGCAAAAAACATAAATATGAGTTTAGAGAGTTTTCCGCTCTTGCGTTTAATTAGTTAGATAGGTTTTGTCACTCCGAACATGTCGATTGGTGCTCACATCCTCCCCTTAGTACGAACCCAGCATCGGGTGGCTAATAGTGCCAGTTCTATGTTTATTAACAAGTCCTCTCATGTGCCTGGTGTGCGTCTCGTTTTTGCTATGCCGATCTTAACTCCCAAGTCTTTCATTCTGGCGAGTGATGTGGATTCACCGTCACAAAGTCCTCCACCCTTCCAATTTCTCGGAGGGCATTAATAATAACAGCATAATCCACAGGTTACCGTTGGTGGTGATAGCGGATCCAACCATTCTATCAGCTCTTTTATTCACCTCGACTCTTGCGTACCCAGGAACGAAAATAAAGGTGATTCCATGCATTGTACTTTTGTAATGACTCAAGCCACTGCCTTCGTACCATAATTAGGCTTAAAGCAAACTTAATAATATTGGGACAGGAGAAGAGTGGACCAAAATGCTGGGACTGGCCAGTGGTCATTGGGTCGGAAATTAAACAACTGACTCATGACAATTCCCAGCCTGGCTGGTTCTGCACCATTTGGTGGTAACTTGATATGACAAGCTAGATGTTTAAGTTTTTTATTTCAAACCTTTTGTAAAAACAGCACTGGGGGTAGCCAGCTATTATGAAACAAAAATACTTGTTTTTTAAACCCTTTTGATGTCGCAATTAGCCTTTAGTTTGAGTGGTAACATAGTGATTGGGTGAATTGGGAAATGGGCCATTTTTTCCTAAAGGATTTCCAGAGTGAAAGGATTTATTAATTATCATCAATCTGGATGCATTATTTCTGGAAGTATGCCACATTTGTGAAACATATATACACATTTATAAAGCACCAGAAAGTTCAAGACAAAAAATTATCACACAATTATCTTTGCTTCCTAAATATCTGTTTAATAAACTTAACACAAAAAGATTATTTAATTATACACATTATAATTACCACAGTTTAAGAATTACCCATTTTAAAAAAAAAGTTATATTCTCAGCTTAAATAAACACATTTACAAAGTGTGAAAAATATTTCACACATGACCATTGCGATTCATCTGGTGGCTTTCAAAAATATCTGGGCTGTCCAAGGTCTTATCTCCCTCACATAATGGCTTGTGTAGAGTCCAAATACATGTCTGACCAACTCCAGCCATGGCCACAACTTTGAAACCCCTAAGTTCAAGTTTCTCAAGTACAGCCCGTGGTGGATCATCAGTTTTGTACTGGGCACTGGTCAAAAGGAAAAATTAAAAAAACATAGCATTACTTATTTCAAAATGTGAATACTGGTCAGGAATGACTTCTTCTTCAGCTCTCTTTTAGTTGTGCTCCAAGTTTCAGAGCCATATTAAAAGACTGGTCTTATCAACGTTTTAAATAATTTGATCCTGGTGTTGTGAGATAGAGACTTTGACTTAAGCAGATGTTGAAGGGCACAGTGTACTTTATTTGCGGACTGTATACTAGATTGCTTTTCTTCTCTTAGCATGTTGAATGTGGAATTAAGAATCAACATCACAGCACTCGTGACACTCCTACAAGTGTTCCATCCCCATCTTCAGCAGCAAAGGAAGAGTTCCAATTCCGATGGCACCAGTAACTGTCTGGTTGTATATCCGTCTCGCCTTTTTCTTGAGTGCTGAGCATCCTTGCAGTGCCATTTCCTCAGACCGTAATGATCTATTTACGCTTCTGCACTGTTTGCTCACTCCCAAAGGGCCCTCACAACATCTAGCTTGTCATACATCAGTTCAACACCAAGTGGTGCAGATCTGGCGTCTTTCTACCTGCTCATGCCATAACACACCGGCATAGCCTGAAGAGACTATCCAAAGGAGCAGCTGAAGATTGCCCCCAAGTACTTATTTCTGTAAATTTAGTTTTCATAATATCGACTAGTATGTGGCCTGAGTTTATACCCTTTATCGTCTTATTATCATGTTTTCTGTCTTATCTTGATTTATAACTAGTCCCATTTTGTGGGCAGCTTTTTTTTTTTGAAGAATCAGTGTTTTTACAGTCTCTAGTTCATTTTCTCCAACGATAACAACATCTGCATAACCAAGAATTCTTGTAGTTTCTTCTATAGTTTTTCCAGGGCCAAGTTGAAAAGAAGTGGGGACAGAGCATAACCTTGCTTTAAACCTAATGTTATTTGAAAATGGTCTTTTTGTCTTTATATGTTACTATATAAGTGTCTTCCATATTAGTTTGGTCATGGTGATTAACTTCTTTGGTATTCCAAAGTCATTCATAGCATTTCAAGAACTGTTTCTATGTACACTATCATACACCTTTTTAAAATCCACAAAAACATTATATATGTCTCTTCCATACTCCCAATTATGCTCTGCTTTTTGCCATAAAATGAATATATGATCTATTGTTGGAAACCCGCTTGATAATCTCCAAATATGTCTTCAACGAATGGTTTTAGTATGTTTAGCAGTACTGCTGATAGTATCTTACAGATTGTAGATAATGGTGATATTCCTCTATAATTTTCACATTTATATTTGTCTCCTTTCTTTAAAATGGGTATTAATAATGACATTTTCCACTCATAGTGTAATTTCAATGTCTTTCAAACTAGTTTTATTAATTCATATATCTTTCCTTGTAATGCATGACCACCATCTTTTAGAGGTTCAGCAGCAATTCCATCAGCACTAGCTGCTTTACTGTTTTTAAGCCGTGTTATGATCAGGCTCTTTAATATTTGGTTCACAAGTTAGTATCTCTTCCTGTGGCTAAGTATTTAGTGGTTTCACAATTTAACAATTCAGTAAAGTATTCCTTCCATCTATTACATATTTCTTAATTATTATTTATCATGCTGCCATTGTGACTTTTTAAACTATATATGCTGTGTCGATGCCCTTGTTTTACAGCCTTCAGTTCTTTAAAAAACTTTCTGGATTCATTTTTATGATAGTTAGCTTTCATATCCATGACGATGTTATTCAGATATTCTTGCTTTTGCTGCCTACCTACTTTTGTAGCTTTTTAACATTCTGTTCTATACTTCTCTTCATTTCCTATGTTACTAGTAACATTTAGCCACATCTGCCTGGCATGTTTGTTTTTTTCTACTGACTGCTTCTTCACATTTTTTATCATACCATTTGTTCTTTCTGTTTATGGTGGACACAACAAGACTTCTGCAGTGGTTTGAATTATATTCTTAATATCCATCCATGTTTGGTCAACACCCTTCTGTGATGGAATTTGTAAAATTTCATGTTTTAATTCATCTGCAAATTTTTCTGATATGGATGTTTCTTGTAATCTTTCTCTATTGTACTCTGGGTGTGATCTTTGCAACTTGGTGAAGAAGAATCTCTTAAGCTTGATTTTTAATTTTGCACTAACCAGGTAATGGTCACTATGACACTCAGCTCCTCTGTAGCTTTTAACTTGTTGTAGGCTCAATGTAGTTCTATTTTTTATTAAAATATGATCTGTTTGATTATAAGTTATCTTGTCACATGATTGCCAGGTTTGTTTATGTATATCTTTTCTTTGAAATTTTGTGCTGCTTATCTGTATTCCTTTGACCACGACAAGGTTGATTAATCTCCATCCATTATCGTTTGAATTTGTATGAAGGTTAGGTTTTCCAAGCCTGCTATATTTTAAAGGTGTTTTCTCTTCCTATTTTTTGCACTGAATTCTCCTAAGACAATATATCTCGTTTTTTAGCTTCATCTGTGATTTTCTCAAGGAGATCAAAGAAATCTTTATTCTCATTTTCTTTATCTTCAGTGGGTACATGGATATTAATCATCATGATATTTTTCCATTTTCCTTTTATTCGTAACTTACTGATTCTATCCTTAATAGCTTCAAAATTTATAATACTGTCCCACAACTTTTTCTTGATGACAAATCCTGTCCCTAGTTCCTGTTTAAGTGTTCCCTCCTTACACTATGATCATACCATTTTCCTCTATAATACCCTGTTCTAGCAATCTTATTTCTTGAATTGCTGTTATATCCATTCTATATTCTGATAACTCAGGGTAAGTTCTTCAGGTGCTAAAGCTCTAAAGAGGGTTTGTACATTTCATGTTCCGAATCTCAAAAGTCCTTTAACATTCCAGTTTCGTTGTCCATTTAAATCCATCCAAAATCGAGGCTTAGAAATCTGTTGAAGAAACGATGAAGGGCATAGTATACTTTATTTGCACATTGTATTCCTTTGCTCAGCATGTTGGAGCAGTTGTAGTTTGCACCCAAGTAATTATAGACATATATTTCCATTCGTTTAATTTTCATATAATTGACTTGTATGTGGCCAGACTTTATATCCTTTGCTTGTCTTGTTTTTATCATTATAATGACTGATAAGTAGTCCCATTTTGTGAGCTGCTTCATTTGAGAGAGTTAAAGTTTTTATACAATGTCTAATTAATTTTCTTCAATGATATCAATGCCATCTGCATAACCAAGTATTCTTGTAGTTTTTTCTATAGTACACTCTTCTTTCAATTTCCTTTGGGGACAGAGCACCACCTTGCCTTTATATAAGAGTCTTCCACTTATAGTTTGGTCATGATGATTAAGTGAAATGAAACTTGCTGTAAATGTCACTTACAATGTGGTGTTTCCACCACACAATTTAATGTCCTGTATGCAATCATCACACGATGCTGGCAATATCCAATACAAAAGTTATCAAATGTGCTTGATGTGTTCTTGTTTCAACAGCATTAACAGTGTTTTTTTGCCAGATAGTTAAATACTCAAGATTAAAGCCGTAAATGCCAGCATCGACACTGAACATACACAGGCTCACATTTGACACCTCTTTAAAACATGATGCCGATAGGCAGAGCAGAACTAGAGAAGAAGTTATATATTCACTATTTTTTACCACTTATGTTTTGAATATTTTCCTAATCACCTACTTATATTCTGCTTCTTTTTCCCTCACAGTGCACTTTTTTGTTTATTTTGTATAATGCAGATACAAACTTGTCACAAACATCATAAAACACTAGATAATGACCAGTCTCTTATTACAGTAAGAGAAACATTACAATGGATGCTCTCCTATGAACTAAACAATGGGAATTACAGTAATTCACAGAGAAGAATTATAGTCAGACGCTGTGGGGAATGAATTAACATCAAACCAACTGATGATTCTGTAGTGTTGTTGTGGAGGACACTAATGTCAGAAAGGCCGTAGGTTTTGGCTTAATACTTGTCATGGACAAAGGAACTCAAATAGCTGGGAAGCACTGATTATGATAATTCAATAAAGGAGGCCTATAGTTAAATAAGTCCTGGGCAGGCAGGTCTAGTGGCACGGTTGGGCGGGGTGGGGGGTTGGTAAACTCATCCTAGTGATATAAGCCTAAGAAAAGTAGCTATTAGCATGGACACAGTAAGTGAAAATTGGGTTAAGTGTCACTTTTCGTGTTGCAGGAAAATTTACCAGTCTTGTCCAGCGGCGTGAGTAACCGCAACTGGAGAATAAATCTGTGTGTGCTGAACTTTTGCAGAGTGTGGGGTAATTCACCATGTAGAAGTTTCCAAGTATCAAACCAACTGACTGATTGACTGACGTGGGTATTGTCGTCAAACAAGAAGTTATTAGTAATATAATAGTTCAGAATATTTATTCCTCCATAGGAAGCAGTACAGTAGTTTAGCCAGGAAAATACTGGCTAAATGATTTACAGCCAGGACAATTATCGGCGACACAATTTCAAGATGTCCAGGTCAGCAGGCAAGGTGCTTTGTAATGCCGGGGTGCTGGGTTTGATCCCAGCTGCAGGCCCTGTGCCTTGCGTTAGTTTCGACAGTGGTATCAAGAAGCTGACCATCCAAAAAGCAATGGTAAACTTCTGGACATAAATATGCTTAGAAAACTCACAACAGCTAAAAAATGCTGGGGTTGGTTCTGCAATGCCCTGTAAAGGATAGGCAACTAACATAGCAGCATGAACTAATGACAGTATTTTAAGTGTCAGTTGAAGAATCAGCACAAGGACAAAGTGTCTGGGGATCAGAACCAGTGATCAAGTATCAGTACATCATGCCCAGATCAGCACCAGTGAGTAATCCAGTCCTGTCTTGACCAAAAGTAGACAAGCCAGAATATCGATGGAGATGGAGGCAGGATCAGCCATTAGGAACAGCGAAGGAGATTTATATAATTATATTATTTGTATACTAATTTATCTTTTTATTTCAAATTAGTTACATATTTGATTACTGTA